AGGTCAAAATCTTCCCAATCAACCTCTGCTTGGAGAGTAATGTATTGGACCCAGGATGTATACTGACCCCGTCCATGCCTTACTCCAGAGGGCCATGTTTATCAATCTAATCAGTGCCTTAGACATCTAAATGTAACGCCCCCAACCTTTGTACATTGCCAACCATCTTTTGTGTTACCGAGTACACTTGATGAAGCAGTTGTGATGTTTAGTGTCACACATGTTCAAAAGGTTTGGTTTTGGTCAATCTCTTTATAAACTGCAGCTAGTAATATTGTCTGGGCTCGCACCTGTTTCTTCAAAAGGGTTTCAAGTCTGGCCACTAGATCTCTCCTTTATTTCATACACTTATTTTCCATATTTGGAGTACCAAACCACTTATATATCATACACACCCATATGAGAGTATCTTAATAAGCTCAATAGCACTTCCAGCAGCTAGGCGAGGTCCATGAATAATTTTGGTAACAAGACTGTCTAAAAACAGCATCCTGTTACTAAATAACAACAGATTGGATGTGAAGTGTGCCAACTGCAACAAAACAAGATTAGTTTTCAGTAGAGCATGTCCTATATGGACATCTTTGGAAGATGTCCTTCTGGTAAAAATGGCTGTACCATATGATGGTGTGACCATGAGAATATTGACAGGAAAGAAAACAAGTATCAGTCCTTCCATGCAGAAAATTGTTTGAGATTGGATGCTTATTGCTTGCACCATTTTAAAGGACTCTATGGTTCGGTACAATGCTTGTGTTGGTAATGTCAGAGTGTATTTTTCCTGGGTCATAGGTAATGTTGACGGGACAAATTCTTTGTCTCCAGGACAAAGTAGCTTGTCTGGACCAGGCTGTTCAATGTAAATATTAACTCCCCTCCCACACATAGTATAATAATTAATATGCTAGAAAAGTAGAAATGAACATAAAAAAGCTTTTCAAAACTTCAAGAGGACATTGTATAGTACCCCAAGTAGGGCTTGGTTTCATTTCCAGAATACCACTGTGTATTGTATATGGTCGGCTCTTAGAAATACAAGAGGGCTCTTGCAGTCTTAGCATTATTTGGAAACTGCTCTCTTAATTTTGATGAAATAGCCAATCTTTTCCTCAGAGATTGTGCCCAGACTATTTACTGTAAATGCCTAAATATTTGCAGTGGTTTTATTTTGTTGGCGACCTCTCCACAGTAAATTCACGATACTGCAAATTTGTCTTCCTTGCATGACTACTGTACTACAGATTGTTTCAAGCACGAATTGAAAAACCACAGTGAAAACCTCTCTTTCCCTCCTACCAGCAAAATATAACCACCGTGAAATTAAATGCATTTACAGTAGTCTGTATATGTTGGGTCAGCTGTTCCGCCCTGGTGTCGTTGACAGCACTTCTGACGCACTTCTGGTCATGTGATCAGGGCAGAGTTGTGTCATCTGATCCGGTATTTGAGAACACAAATAAATCTTGTCGTAAACACAACATGTTTATGTTTTTCCATTGTTTATGTACCATTCGAATAAAAGCAAGTCTTGCGCACTGTGTACTTGTGTGTATGGCCATCCATACCAAGGTCAAATGACAAGAGGGAGGTTGGAAGAAGGTCACTGTTTACATTTACCCAGAATGCCAGCTGCATGGCTAAATCAAAAGTGACAACCATATACTCATTTACAACATTCAGATCAGGGCTATGTATACTTGACAATAGCTAGATTGCAAAATGAACTGTTAACCTTCCCCCTGCTACCTAATCCCCATAAACAATGGAGAGCCAAACAGCTACTGCAGTATGCTAAAGGTTAAAGTTGTCAGACATTTTGTGCTTTATTGACATCAAACATTGATCTGAATATTAAGAAGGGAGCCTTGCATATTAACACGTCTCTACAGCATACAATACAGGTGTTGCAAGGTATTACTGGAGAAGCTTAATAATAGGCAGCCTGAGAAAAGTTTGGCGTCAATTGGGAGTCGTGTAAACGTCACATCTGTGCGAGACTTAACAATACCAGGCTTAGGCCTTATTGTTTGTGTCTAGCCAAAGCTTTGTGGCCCTGAAAACACCCTGCGTGCTTCTCTCATCGCGTCAGGGATCAGCCTCCGCGACAGGTATGTTGAAATCAGTGACAATCACCCTTTTCAACAGCGAAACGGAGTTAGAATCACAGTTCGAGATGTGCCCTTTCCGTAGACGATGGAGTTCTAGCGTCTGGCCTGAAAAGCTACGGGGCTAAACTTCTCGGGCCTTTGAAACGTGAAATGCTTCGAGTCGACGGTATGCTGACCAACTGTGAAACCGGCGACCGATTCGCCTTCATGGCTATTCCGACAAACCCTACTGAGCACATTCCGAGATTTGTCGAGCTTGGAGGGCGATGGAGGGCAAGAGTGTTCTACCGAGACCAACCTAAGGACCAGACGCGACCGCGACATGTTCCTAATGACAACAGTGCTCGCGTGGCTTCTACCCTTGCTCCACGTCCCCCTACCGACACCACTGCTGGGAATGAAGAATCCAGTAATGAACAGCAGAGTCGGGTCAGCACAGCTTTTGTTCAGCTTGCCCCCAGCTCACCTGAAGAGGAAGATCACAGAGACAGGTCTGAGCAATCTCAGGTTAACAGGGGAAAACAGAGCCAAATCACAGACTATGTTGCACCAGCAACTCGTACTAGGAACAGGGGAAGACCCCGGCCCCAGTCCCAGACAACGAACAAGACTACCGCACCAACCGTGGCAACGAGAAGTACCACAAAGAAGAACCAGTCCTCCACTACAACTAGCGGCATAAACACAGACGACCAAGCAGCGATCATGAGACAACGCATCGACGACCTCGTCGAGACAAGTCGTAATGCTGCCAGTGGAACTCACATCGATACTCCTGGCAACTTCCGCAGAGTCAGCCCCGAAGACGGAGGCCTGAACTGTTAGACATGACATTACTTGGGACTCATGCTACCTGTAAGTCACACTCACTCCCATGACCTCTGAACTTAGTTTACTTTCCCTAAATGTACGCGGCTTACGCAACAAATGTAAACGAGACATCGTTTACCTTTGGCTAAGTCAACAGAAAGCGGACATCTTCCTCCTTCAAGAGACATACTTTACCACTGATATTCTTAGTGATCTTGAATTAGACTGGAATGGCTTACAATTCCACGACTTTGGTAGCACCCATAGTCGAGGGGTCTCAATACTCTTTAGAAAAGGACTGGATGTTGATGTAGCTGATGTCTTAAAAGGTAATGATGGAAGAAAACTGATTGTTATATTGCATGATCTCTGTATTCTCAATGTTTATGCCCCCAATGATCGCACTGAGAGAGGGAAATTCTCTAGCGATCTCTGTGATTGGGTAAATGATAACCAGATCACTAACCTGTTAGCAGGTGGAGATTTCAAT